TCACGGCAAAAGTGTATATCACGGCAAAAGTGTATATCACGGCAGTGAGTTGTTTTTTAAAGAATCTGATGACAGCTGTCAAGAACAGGAAAGACGTCAGAAAAGAATAAAAAAGATAAGCATTTGTGGTCACGAAACTGTCTACCAAAGCAGTAGAAGTATATCAAGATGTTTTTTGTTATGTGGAAGGACTAAATAATTTTGAAACAAACGGCGCGCCATACCTTTCGGTCCAGTCACGTAGGCTTGAGTGTTAGTCGACGACAACGTTTTTTGAATTGACTGTATACGTTTTCAAGACCGATGGCACAGTCTTTCCCTATCCGAGGACGGTAAATAAATACCTTACAGTGGAACCCCGTTAATAAGGACACCGTTGGGACGGACAAAACTGTCCTTATTAACGGGGTGTCCCTATTAACCGAGGTGTCAGAAAAACAGCTGAAAACACATTTTTAACCATTTATTTTTACTGTACTGTAAACCTTGAACTACAATAGTCGATATAACAGCCTGGAACAAAAAATGCATTACTGTATAAGAACTTCATTTGCATTTACTGCATTGTATTGTACAATTTAATTTAAAGACGTCTGTGAGATTTGTTTGTTGACTGTTTTCTTTTTACTGTACTGCACACTTGCAGCTACAATGTTCAATACAACAGCGTAAACTGAAACCAAAAGTACATTACTTTACAAGCACGACATCATTTTTGTACTATACTGTACTGTGCTGTATAATTTCATTTAAAGAAATCTGTGAGTGTTTTCCTGAACAGAGTTCAAAATACTGGGATTGAACCAAATTAATTGAACATCGCTTAAAATCCTGCTAAAATCGAGCGTTGTCTATTTCATTATGATGTAATAGCAAACTATACTGCAATGATCAGTGATCACTGACAATATGATCCGTATTCAGCTCATTATATCAATAAACAAATACAGTAAAGACGTCTTCAAATTTCAAGTGTCCTTAATGCGGGGTTGTTTATGTATGGCAAGTGTCATTCAGGTCCTAGAAATGTGTCCTTTGTACTTATTAACGGGTTTCCTAATAAAGCGGGTTATTTTAACAGAAAAAGTATGGAGTTTTCGTTGGGACTTTGAAACGTGTCCTTAGTAACGAGGTGTCYTTATTAAGCGGGTGTCCTTAGAGCGGGGTTCCACTGTATTTATTTTTATTCCGTACTATTTTTTTATTTGTTTTTGTAATCGTTTTGTTTTTTTGTTTAGCGGCAAAGGATACCGGACCGCGAGCGCGGGCAGATACTTACAAAATACTGCCCGCTCAGCCAATCAGAACGCGCGGTTTTTTAGGATACCGGACCGGGAAAAAAAATGCAATATAGCAAGGAAGGCTCTGGAAACTAAAAGACTAAAATATAAAAGAGGTTTCCTTGAGAAATAAAGTTAAGGTAGAGAAATGGCACTGTTCAGTTCAAGAAAGCTTGTGACATGGAGGAATATGAATAACAGGATGTAGCTAAAATCTACCGGCGCCATTTTCCGCATTCTTCATTTCACACCCTTTCTCTGTTCCCTTGCCCGTCTGGCTCGAGCAGTCGATAGGGACTTTAAGATTTGCAAAATCTACGACGGCGACGCCAACCGAAAGTGTAAATAATTTCTCTCTTGGGTTCTGTTCATCGGAGATTTCATTTCAAACATTGTCGTTAAAGTCAACTCATCCACAGGGAAGACAGACTTTGAAGACGCGAAACCCAAAAGTGAAGTTATTTACACTTCCGGTTGACGTCGCCGTCGCAGATTTTGCAAATCTTAAAGTCCCTAATATTTACATTGACAATACATTGAATTTATACATTCGAGGAATTTCGAAGTATTGCAAAAAAGAAAGTCTTTAAACTCGACCAAAAAAAGGGGAACAAAGAAAAAAGATAAACTCTCGATGTTTCAGTTGGAAATTATTCATAATATACTCCCTTTAAAAAGAGGTACATGGCAAGAACTTCCGAATCACTATGGGAGGAGCTTAATACGTCATCAAGATACTAACGTCAATCATTATGTTTTAAGCCCTGTATTCTTATTGGCTCAATCACTTTCCTCGATTTGCATTTTTCAAAATGGCAAATAGGAAACTTTAAGAGACAAATGTTTCTATATCGTGCCAAACAGTTTATCAACAGAAAACTAATATCGCCATTAGTGCAATAAGGACTAAGGGAAAGATTTATTATGAGGTAGAGAGTCTGATAAGTATTTAGATTGCTCTAACTCCAAGTCATGTTGTAATGGCAAGTGTATCAATGGATCCAATTGTCTGAGAAAATGGTGTGTTATAGCGACCATTCTTTCAGTGGTTCCAATTGTCTCGGTCAGCCATGTGACATCAATTCAGATTGCTCTAATTCAGAGTCATGTTGTAATAGCAAGTATGTTGTGAAGGGATAGGGGAGGGAGGCTTATAACTTAGAAAGAAAGAAAGAAATCCTTTCAGATTCTTTCATGAATTCTTTATTGTGATATATTTTAGGTCTACTATCTTTTTTACTTTTTTTGGTCGAGTTGAGTGATTTGCTTTTCAGCTATACTTTAAAATTACTCAAATTTTTAAATCCAATGTAAAAACATGGTGAACACTCACTGGTCAAGACAAGGGAGCTGAGAAAGGGTGTGAAACTGAAATGCGGAAAGTGGCGGTAGATTTTTACTGCATCCTGTTATTCATCTTTCTCCACAAAAGCTTCTTTTTGACAACAATGTCACGATCAATATTAATGCATTAGTGATTAATGATGGTAATAGAACTGAGTGGATGTGTAGCTTGGTCTGAAATCATTCGCGAAAATGCCACAAAAATGAAAATTTGTTCTGTTTTTGAATTAATTTATGGCGGTTGAAGAGAACTCCCGAGAACTCAAGAAGCCGCGTTGCGTGACGACCATGAAAGCGTCTGCGTAGGAGCCTACCATTTCGAACGATTGATGTTCCATATGCAGCTTTTCCCATATCTTTTACGATTTGTTGTGTATCTGAACCAACCCCTTTATGCCATTGGCTCTAGATATGAAACTCTAAGAGCTACTTAATAACATTGTCATGTGATGACGTTGGTAAGGAAATAAGCATACTACAAGTTCCGTAAAGGCGAATTATAATATTACTGTCTACTGAGTAAGTGTCATTTTGTAACTGGCTGTGATAGCGGAAAAATAGCTACTCGTAATGGCGCTGAAACTGCTGTTCTTTGCTGTTCTTTGCTACATTCGTGGTTCCAATTCCCTTGACTCCTTTTGCGTTAGAGCCTTGGGCAGCTGCTCATGGTCACAGTCTTGTTGTAAAAACACATGTGTTGATGCCCCCAATTGTCTTGGCCGATCGTGTTCCATCGACTCACATTGCTCATCATCTGAATCGTGTTGTACAGGCAAATGTACCAAGGGATCTGATTGTCTCGGCCAATTCTGTTCCAGTGACACCGATTGCTCGTTATCAGGATTTTGTTGTGGCCACAAGTGTGTTATCAAGGGATCCAATTGTCCGGGAAGATCGTGCTTTAGCGACTCACAATGTTCTGCATCAGAATCGTGTTGCAACGACAAATGTTTCAGTGGTTACAATTGCCTCGGTCAATCCTGCTTCATCAATTCAGATTGCTCTAACTCAGAGTCATGTTGTAATAGCAAGTGTGTTGTAAAGGGATCCAATTGCTTGGATTCTGCTTTAATCACCCCTATAGTACTTGGTTCACTTGGTTTGATTGCGACTATTATCATAGTTGTCGTCATCGTAGTAATTCTCAGAAGAAGGCACTTTGGTGGAGTGATCAACTACCGTGAGTTTCCTTCAGTTCCATTATCACAAAGAGGAGTTAACCATCCACCACCACAACAGAGCGGTAATGGAACAACTGACCAAGAGGCGAACCAACAGACAACTTATCCTCCTCCTTCATATGAAGTTTCAGCAAGTGGAAAGACCACAGTTGGAGAAATTGGTAATGACAAAGGGAGCCATGCTTGAGCGACAATCTTAAAAATAACGGCGAGCTATAAGAATCACATATTAGAACGACGCAGATAAACAAGGGGACCTCACAGCCGCTACAGTGACGGATCCAGGATTTTTCAAAGGGGGGTTCCATTTCTTAAACTGTGTATAATTCTCTTTTGTTTAGTTGATGTTTGACAAAACAATTGGCTCTAATCACCTAATTTACCATCTAGTAA